CCCTGAGAGGTCAGGGGCTCGGCAGGAGTGGGCACCACGTGGCTAGGACCTCCAGGCGCGACCCCGCTTCTTGCTGCGCATTTCGATGAGTTTCTGGGAACGCATCTTGAAGGAGGCCCGGTTCACCGCGTCGTCCTCCTCCTCGCTCTCCTCTTCGTCTGCGGGGAGCCGAACTGATCCAGTTTCCCCGCCGGCCCTCACCACTCACCCCTCAGGCCAGTTCCCACCCTTTCCAGCCCGGCACTAACCGAAGAACTTGTCCTTGGTACTGGCCAGGGGCAGGGGGATGCGGGTGTTGTACCGGGGCAGCTTTCCTTCCAAGGTGACCAGGAACTAGGGGAGAGGGAACGGGGGTGAGGATAGCGTGGGCAACCTGAGGCTCATCCCCGGATATGCCCTGATTCCAGGCAGAGAGCATTGCCCACTAGAATTGTTCTTGTTTTTGAGACAAGGTCTCCCCCTGTAATTCAGGCTGTCCTCAAACTCGCGGCCATCCTCCTGCCTCAGCCTCCCCGGTGCTGAGATCCCAGGCGTGGGCCACCACGCCCCGTGTACGAAGCAGTACGTCTCCAGGCCAGCTTCATTTTCCTTCTCAGGACACCCTCTGATGTCCAGCTCCGCTCGGGGCCACCCCTGGCCCTCAGGCCCCCCCCCGGCCCAGTGGGGACACGGCCCGATGTTCTCCTGGCTTCCCCTTCCCAGCGGTCAGCCCACACTCTGGCCCCAGAACGCTGCCCTCCTCCCCTCTGCCCTGCATGGGCGCCAGGGGCACCTCGTGGCCCGTGATGTGGCGTAGCATCTCCTGCACGTTGTGGGTCATGAGCTGGTCCTGCAGTTTCAGCAGCTTCTCCTCCACCAGGCCCAGTAGGTTTGGTAAATAGTCACTCGCGGTGGGGTCCAGCACCCTTCCAGAGAAACGGCCGTCCTCCTGCAGACGGGGGAGGAGCTGGGTCTGCGGAGGGGCGGGGCTCCCGGAAGCCCCGCCCGGGGCGGGGCTTGGCGGAGAAGGGCCACCGTCGGGGCGGTGCCTGCCTTTGTGGCTAAAATAAAATGTCCAACTTTGAGGCGGGGCCTCTGCAGCTATAGACTAAGGCAGGACTAAGACCTTGATCAAGGCTATTGTGCAGATGGGCTTCTGAAAATTTTGGGGTTTTTTTTTTTTTTGTGTGCTAGGGATTGAACTTAGGGACTTTCTCCTGAGTACAACCCCAGT